CGCTCGGATAAAAAGAACATTCGGACAGTTTTTATATCATTTATCATCTGAAAAGAAAAGAAAAATTATTAGATCGCATGAGAAATTGTATAAAAAACTAAATCGAAGCACCTTGTCAGTCGTATTCAATGAAATGTGCTTGAAAGAAGGATTGCTGCCTAAATAACACACACACACACACACACACACACACACACACACACACATATATATATATATATATATATATATATATATATATATATAAAAAATATATAGAAAATAGGAAGGAACTGGTTGTGTAAATAATCCAAAGTTCCTTAGTATTTTAGTTATTATTTTTAAAAAATAAATATGGAAGATACAAAAGTAGAAAGATAATATAATTATTTATTTAAAATATGATTCCAACTCTATATGGCGAGTTGGAATCATATTTTTAAATAAATAATTATATATATATATATGTATGTGTGTGTGTGTGTGTGTGTGTGTGTGGACAATTTTGATTGCTTTTAAATGTAGAAGCTTATCTGTTATCGTCTTATCGAACCTAAGAGCCACTTGTAACAGGGAAAATATTTCTTTTACTTATCAAAGTTTTCCGACTCAATAGACAAGTGGTATAATCTCGTCCAAGCACAGTCACTTTAAACTTGACATGGTTATCATATCTTTACACTGAAATGACAAATCGTCAAGGGCCTTAAATTAGGACACTGCGTAACCCAACGGCACTTCCATTTGGTTAGTTTTCGGGGATAGGACTACAATAGACTTATATTTGTCCAACGTCTATTCTACAAATACAGAGCGCGACGGATAAATTGTCGTCTAAATGACGCAAAAAATGAAAATAGCACTGTCATCTCATCTTAACAGATATATGGACGAAAACCACAGAAAAATACCTTGAAATACTAAAGAATACATTTATGCAATAAAATCACCATTGGCTTCAACCACGGCCGACAGACGGCTTCGGAATCTCCTGCAACTTTTCTGGACGGTCTTCTTGTTTAAGTTGATGTCATAATCCTTGCCTTCAGTTCATCTTTGGTGATGTTAAAAGGAGTCTTGTTGGACTCTTGCTCAACTGCGCCCCACATCTCAAAGAGATTGCAGTCTGGGGAGTTATGCGGCCAGGGTTATCCAGAAGCCACCCGCTTAACAAAAGGCAGGACTACCTACTCAAGGCATTTGGTGTAGTCCCCGTGTTAACACTGTCATCTCATCTTAACAGATATATTGACCAAGACCACAGAAAAATACCTTGAAATACTAAAGAGCAAATTTATGCAATAAGAACACACCTTCAAAATCAGTACTACAATGAGCCAACATTATTTACGAATTCGAATGTCCTTTAAAAAAATTGTGTTCATGATCAAACCGAACTTATAAAGAATTATATTGGTCACACAACTACACACCTATCCAGACGACTGACGTGACACATATCAGACCAATGTTCTATCAGAACTCACTTAAACATACACAAAAACTAACAGACTCAATCCGAAAGATACGAGTATAAAATAAAAGCGTCCACATGTAAAAAAAAGTTTGAAAATAATGGAAACCCTCATAATAAAAAAGAAAAGGCCAACACATAATAACATTAACTATGATCACGGCCACAATGTGATGACCGTGTTTGGAAAATAAAACATCCCCAAAACTCTAGATACATACATAACACAACCCATACATTCAGTTATAAGTAAAATCAAATAATCCTTGATAATAGCTGGAAGAATAGCCGAAATCGCTCGGAGATGCAGAAACTTTGGACAGTTTTTATATATTTCGTGTCCGGAAACGAAAACACTTGTGGAAACACAAGAAAAATTAAATAAAAAGCTTAATCGCAGTACCTTGTTAGTCGTCTTTAATGAAACATGTATAAAAGAGGTATTGCTACCTAAAGACACACATATATATATATATATATATATATATATATATATATATATATAGAAAATCAATTACAGTGGAACTTTAGATGATGAAATCATGCATCGGATTGCTAAGGCTACCAGTGCTTTCGACAAACTTCGCCATCACTTGTGGAATGAGCGGGGTATTCGACTGGATACGAAAATTCGGGTTTACAGAACTGTTGTACTTGCCATACTTTTGTATGGCTCAGAGTCGTGGACTCCATACAGGTACCATATACGTCAGCTAGATGTTTTCCATAAAAAGTTGTCTGCGTGCAATCTGTGAAGTTAACCTTCAAGATAGGACATCTAACGTAGACCTGTTTAACAGGTTAATTGGAGGAATCAAGACTTTATCATACAGTCTCAGTTACGGTGGACTGGTCATGTCTTGAGAATGTCTGATGACAGGCTACCCAAGATCCTAATGTACACCCAGTTAGATCAGGGCTACAGGAATGTAGGACGCCCATGGCTAAGATACAAAAAACAAGCTGAAAAGCAACTTGTCAGCAGTCAATATACCATAACACCCTTTGAGCGCTTAGCCTTGGAGCGGGTAGAATGGAGATCAACGTGTTTTAGTGGACTCAGCAATTTTCAATCTGCTTGTCTGAATCATCTTCAAGAAGCGAGAGAAAGATCTAAAAGATCAGCCAATCTAAGAGTGATCTCATCTCACAATCCTCACACTTGCTCCATATGTGGCCTCCTTTGTAAATCACTAGCGGGTCTTAAATGCCACTTAATCAAGTAAGCTGTCAGATCCTCATACGTCGAAATCGACGGAAGAGTCCATTATTGTATATAGTTGCGTTGATGTGAGTTTGTGACCCTGGATTTCACGCAACTGACGATTGCAAAGAGCGTGAAACCCAAGGTTACAAACTCACATCAATGCAACTAAATATGTTTGCTCTATCACTGATATTGAGCGCTTTCCAATAAGTACCGTGTATATATAATATATAAATAATATATATAAAATTGCATATATATATATATATATATATATATATATATATATATATATATATATATATATATACAATAGGAAAACTGTAATAGTTGCCGTCGCGTTTCGTCCAAAGTGAACTTTCTCAACGCAAAAAACGAAATGAATTTATTGAAACAAAGTAACTAATGATAACTAAAACAAAATGTCCTTAGCAACTGGAAGAATTTAGAGAACGCTGTTTTCATACTGTTAACTGAAAATTACGTCAATAACTGTCACGTGTGGAGATGTTGTTTTTATTGCTGTATTGATGGATTCAACCATTTTCTTTTGACTTCTTGATACTGTTCTGTATGTGTGTTTGGGAGAGTAATAATTCTGTTAAGAAAGGTGAAATAGAGAAAAAAACCTGGGCGTAGATTAATATTTGGGTAATATTCAATGGCGGCACTCTCGAGGATTTTCCTTCTGAGTGAGTTATTTTCTTTTTTTATGAGTGTAGCATTTTTAAAATCAAAATTGTGGTTGAATTTATATTGTCTTTTTCTACAGGTTAACTCTGAGAAATTTTTCATATATATATATCTATATATATATATATTATAATTATTTTTTAAAATATATGATTCCTTCGCTACATAAGAGTTCTCATGTTTCGAAAAACGAGAGCCGAATCCCTTAATATAATTATTAAAATTAAATTGAATTAAAGTATCAAGCCCTGTTTCATCCTCTAGCGAAAATTTAGGAATAACAAATCTTGAAATTTACGCATCTTTATAAGCATGTTCATTCGCAAAATTCATTACTATGGAAACGGCTGGGGCGACTATTTTGATAAAAGGGCCTGAGAGTTAATTTTTATCCACATATCAGTTAACTTCGGAAAGAGGTCAAGCCGAGGTAGGGTCGAGGTGTCCATTTCAAAGTGAAGGATGGCATTCATGTGCGTGCATCGTCTGCTCAGTCACAGCGAAAGATAGCTTTTAGCACCATAGTATATCGTTGAAATGGACGCCTTTTTTGGGCAGGACAATAAAAGAAGACCATACCGACCGTATGCAATGTCCAAAATGAATAAAAGTCATCTGATTCGGACATGTCAACATTTCAGATCCCTTTCTTAGCTTGGTAGCAAAAGGCTGGGATAAGAAATTGCTTTTATTCACTTTCACCCTATGTGTGACCGACAAGTCAAATTCCTTCTTGGGATTGTAAACATTTCAGAACCCCTATTTAAGTAGTAATCAAGCTAACAGCGGTTAGATGCGCTAAGAACAGTCTCAAGATTATTCATCCCAATTTTGTCTTAAATAAATCTCTTCTTTCATCACTTATACGTCTTTTAGATTCATGCAGATGCCCTCATATAAGTGAGCAACCCCGTAGGAGTTAATTAAACCAAAGAAGGTATAAAACTTACTAATTATTAAATTAGTTCCAAACTTTTGGAAAAGAATGTGTAGGTGCCTTTTCATTGACCCAAGTGTCAACGAATCAGAACTTCCTTATAAAAAAAAATAAAAGAAGTTTTTTCTGCCAAAATATTTCAGCGAGAATTTTAGCTTGGTAGCAAAAGGCTGAGATAAGAAATTGTTTTCATCCACTTTCCTCTGAAAGTTCTCCACTGCCTTAACCGGGTATTGAACTCACACTCTTTGGGTCCTGTCACTGGATCTAACCAACTCCTTTATCCACTGTGCCATGTGTTCTTGAGGGCGTCTATTAGACATGGCACCTGGAAGTAGAACAGTCTACCCCAGCGAATGAAATAAAGGGTTTATTTCGATATTCAAACAACTTTTATCCGCTCTGCCATGTGTCCTTGAGGACATCTGTGTATGAATTTCTGGGTATTATAAACCTAATGTCTTCAATTTTTTACCAGTGCCCATATTGCAATTTTTGCTGTTATCAATGCATTTTTTTTTACCAGAGCTCATATTGCAATTTTTGTTTTTATTATCGCTTTTCTCTGACACTCCTTATTACTGGTTCTCATATTGTATTCATTTCTATGCTTGGTCGGCTCAGGAGTTTTATTTTATTTATTTATTTTTTTTTTTTGTTGACTCGCATATGTGCTGATTTCTTTATTTTATTTTTTTTTTTTTTTACAGGTTATCTACATTTTAGCCACGGTGATCGTCATGTTCTTTGTGTGCGTTATTCCTTTCCGGGTATTCACCCTCTGGGTGATCTTTGGCCTCTCCGAGGACAACATCCAACTGCCGTTCGAACATTACCTCAACATCTTCAACATCGTCCGACTCCTGACCTACGTGAACAACGCTGGAAACCCGATCGTCTATAATGTCATCTCTACCAAATTTCGCGTCGCTTCCTTGTCCGTTTTCCGGCTCTCGTGCGGACCCAAACGGGGAGCGGCCTCCAGCAGGCTCCACCCCTTTGCTCAGCACACGCACCAGCCGAGTGGACCGTCAGTGCGCAGGAGTCAGGCCGGATCGACCGGCGGACCCACAACGATGTTTGCGATGAAGACGCGAAACGGAGCTGGTGGGTCTGTTTCTGATCCGGGGGACGTCAGAGGCGGACACCCTGCCGGAATCGGTAGCGGAGGTTCCGGTTCCGGGAATCGAATGAGCGGAAGTATGGTGGTGGTTGACGCTGAATCTGGTCGTGGTGCTGGTTTCCATGGTAACAACAGTACCTGTACAACATGGTTTCAGTATTCGGTTGATATGAACTCTGCTTACGATACGGACGGATCTAAAATCACCTCAACCATGCTGTAAAGAAAGAAGTGTTTCGACTAATATCCTTATCCCTGCTTGTTCCAAGTGCGTCTTGATTTATTTCATTAGATATGTTTTGTTTAAATGGCGATGCAGTGTTAGGAAACATTTTTATCTCTATTTGTGTCAACGTTGCAAATAAACTAGAGACATATTTCGGGAAACGGGGTGAGATTCCTTGTCATTTATTGTAATTCATCTGGGAGGTTCTCTGGGCCACCAGGCAAAAAAAATACTTTTCGTTTTTATTCGTGTTAACATGTGAAATAAACTAAAAACAGATATTTCAGGAAAAGGGGACAGATTACTTGCCATTTCAAACAGTAATTAATCTGTGGGTAGTAATGTAGCCAGACTGTCTTTATTTTATCAGGAGAGCTTCACTAACATGTAGTCTTTTAGTGTCTTTGATATGATAAAGAATACATATATCCTGAACTTTGGATGCGACGGGTATCGACGCGGAAAGGGAAAATCGATGAAACGAGTTCGAATTCCGGGCTGTAACAAGAAAAAAATGTAACATTCGCACAGGTTCTTAGAAATATATCTTATTACTTAAACACGTTATATATGATAGGGCCAGCTGATGGTCACAAATCCAGCAACAAAAAAAGGAAAGCGAATGATATAGCGGTGCCTTTCCATTGGTCCGTGAATTAGCCAATCAGCAATTAGCGAGAAGGTGACATTTCCTTATAAAAAAAAAAAGAAGATTCTTCTTCCAAAATTCTTCAGTGAGAATTTTATCTTAGTAGCAATAGGATGGGATAAGAAATTTCTTTCACTGACTTTAACCCTCTCCGTCGCTGACAAGTAAGCGGAAAAAATTCCCTTTTGGAGATGTCAACATTTCAGAACCCCTAAGCGGTAATCGGTGCTAACAGCGGATTCATTTAGATGAAGTCTCAAGATTATTCATACCATATTTTTCTAAAATAAATCTCTTCTTTCGTGGCTTATGAGTCTTTTACTAGTCTCATGTAAATATCCTAACAAGACACTGCACATCCTCATAAGGGCAAGACGACCCAAGAATGGAAATCTCCTCATATAAGTGAGCAACCCCGTAGAAGTTAATTAAATCAAAGAAGGTATAAAACTTAGTAATTATTAAACCAAGAGAGTGGCTCAAAACCATTGTCAAAGAATTTGGAGGTGTTTTTTCATTGACCCGAAAGTTAACGAAACAGAACTTCCTTATAAAAAGAAAAAAAGAGGTTTCTTCTGCCAAAATATTTCAGTGAGAATTTTTGGCACCGAGGCGTGGTGTAATGGTTAACAAGCTTGTCTCGCTAAAATATTTACGACTGAATAGTGAATTCGATCCCCACTGGGTGCCCCATCCTTTCGGCCTTGTGCCACATCTAAGCTACGCTTGTAAAATCACTATTTCAGTGAGAATTTTAGCTTGGTAGCAATAGGCTGGGATAAAAAATTTATTTCACTCACTTTCACCCTCTCCGTCACTGACAAGTTATCGGCAAAAATTCCCTCGTGAGGAACAATAAAAGTAGACAATACTGACCGTATGCAATGTGCTTATTACTACTACCAAAGACATTTCACAGTAGTTCGCACTACAGCCCTTGGAAAAGGCATGAATTTGTTTCTTTGCTCCCCAATGTTTGGGTTAGATAGCAGGCTAGAATCGCTTCTCTAAGCTTGAAGTGGTGACCAGTCTGGGAGAAGGAATTCCCAAACCAGCCTCAAGAGTTATGGTCTCCCTCGGGCTACCTTGCTCTAGACACACCAACTGCAACATACCAGCGAATCTGATGGGTTACGGAATTCGTTGTGTGCTCTCAATAAGAACATGGCCGATGGATTAGTCGGCGACGACGGTACCTTATATAGGAATTTAGTGTAATCGTTTCTGCTTTCCCGTATTCTCTGAGTTTTGACGAAACTGCTTCATTATTACATTATTAATCTTCGTACTTTCTTTAAAACAAGTTTTCTGCCGATGTATTCTTCTGTCTAACTGCAATCTAAATTTCTGATTTGAAGTATTTATGTACAGGGACTGGTTTTACCCTAAACAATGCAATATCGATCTTTTTAAGACTTCTGTCCAGCGTGACCTAAACAATTTTCTCCAAGTCAAAACTAGATCAGCAATTAGAATTTATTAAGAAGATCTTACGCGATAATGGCAATCCTTTGGCATTTACTCATTGTGACCCAGGGTTTAAAACTACGACCCCGCCAATGTGCTCTCTCCCCGGGACCGTAACTAAAAGTTCACTCTGTACAGCTGCTCTATAAACCAAAGTATAGCTCTGTGAGTATTGTAGAAACACAAATAATCTGTCTATACGAGGGGGGACCCAAAAGTAACTGGAATTGTCTCATATAATTTTATTCTTTTATTGTTGCATGTTTATATTCTTATCACCTTCAAAGTATTCTCCATTTGAAGCAATGCATCGACCCAGACGTGTTTTCCATTGTCCAAAGCAATCCCGGAACTCTTGTGAAGTTATGTTTTTTTAATGACTCAGTCGTTTTCTTCTTAACCTTCTTCTGCGAAACGTTTTCCTTTGAGGACTTTCTTCATTCAGGGGAACAAAATAAAAGTCCGCAGGGGGTGAGATCGGGTGAATTGGGAGGGTGGAGAAGTGGGGTCATGCTATTCTGGGTTCAGAAACTGTCGCACACTTAAAGCAGTGTGCGCTGGCACATTGTCGTAATGCAACCACCACTCTTCCCTTTGCCACCGATCAGGGCGTTTTTCGTCTCACCTTGTCTCGCAAACGGTTCAGGACTTCAAATAAAGTAAAAAGCCTGGTTAACAGTTTGACTTGGAGAAACAAATTCTTTGTGGAGAATTCCCTTCACATCAAAGAAACAAATCAACACCGTCTTGACATTTGACCTCACTTGACGCGTTTTTTTGTGGGGGGAGTCGTGGTGACGTTGGATGCTTCCACTGACTTGATTGCTGCTTCGTTTCCGGGTCGTCGCCATAGCAACAACTTTCGTCATCGGTGATGACCTTCTAAAAAAAAAAGGTCTGGATCAACTTCCAACTGTTTTTTTAGTTTACGACAGGCATCCTTTAAGCCATGGTAAAAATAGACGAAAAGGCGTGAAGCCCTTCAAAACAAACGTGAACCACGGAGCTGTACGTCCTCCGACGATGGCACCAGTTAGCACACTGATGCCTGAGGGTTGCCTCGAGTGGCATCTAGCGGTGGAAGCCTGAACTACGGGCTTGTCACACAGAAAACGATTCTGGTTACTCTTGCCCCCACCTCGTATTTCTAAGATGTGGTATTGTAATTATTTGTACGATTTGCATTCTTCTTTCTATTGTCCTAATCTTTGTTGTCATATTCACGACGTTTCGACCGTCCTTGGTATGACGAAAAACTACATCCGCGTCCCGGGTAAGGTTATAAACTACATCCGCGTCCTGGGTAAGACAATAAACTACGTCCAACAATAAGGCCTCTGATCAGGAGGTTCTGAGGAGCGTGGAACCACCTCTTAATTGCCGGTGTTCCCAGGTCCGCCCTGACCCCCCAGGGGGGGGGGGGGTAGCACCTGTTACGGTCCCTACTAGGGGCAAATAGTTAAACCCCAAACTGGGGTCAAAACACTATGAAAGTGTCAAAATCGGTTTTAATGCCAGAAATACTTTATAAAAAAATATTACCAGAGATACATTTTTGAAGAAACAAATATTATCAGCAATACATTATTGAAGGGAAAAATTATTATTTTACCAGCAAAAAAAGAAATTTCAGCAGTAAATAATCCATTGTGTTTGATATGGCGTTAAAACGAACAAAAAATATAAAGACGTTTCGGCCGCCGGGGTAGATTGTTCTAGTTCCAGGTGCCATGCCTCTTCCAGATGTCTCAATATCAGATATCTCCTTGTAAATGAATTCTCCAAAATTTTTTTATCCACCTCAGGGACCCTTTGAGGACATTTTTATCCACGGGACCTTGAGGACATTAGTGTATGAATTTGGAGGGAGTTATAAACCGAATGGGGTGAATAGAAAACCTGGAGACTTGAGCTAGAGGGAGCTAACGAATACGAAGACCTCCAGAAGAGGTATGGCACGTGGAACTAGAACAATCTACCCCGGAGGACGAAATAATGTGTTAAGTTCGAAATTCCAACCACTTGAAGAAGGCCGGGGCGTGCAACGGCCGAAACGTCGGGAATATTCAAAAGAGATGGGGACAACTGTCGGAACAATGTGAATAGTGCACATAAGCATAAATGTGTCTGAAGAAGCGTCTGCAGCAGGGATCGGATAGCAATCTCGGTCATACTCGAAAACGTAGGAAGATCTGAATGAACGACGAAAAGGGAAAATGGTATAGGTATGCCGAGTCTCTTTCGTTCCGTTCGCACTAATGCGTTTGGAAAAGGTAAGAATCCGAGCTATTTTTTCTTCGTTTTTGCCTTTTTTTTCCGTAATAAGTTAAACAACGGCACAGACTGCTAGTTTGGTTGGCAATCAGACTAAACAAAATACAACACTGAATTAGGAACAGTAAAGAAAGCAACCCCTGAAAACGCTCTATTGAGCACTTTATCCCCTAAATAAAGCAAACCTTAAAGTTATATATATATATATATATATATATATATATATATAATCAGGTCATCCCATAAGTTCTGTCCGAATTTTAACTTTTTGTTAAAATGAACGAAATTTAAAGAGTATTTTATAATGTCTAATGGAGCTGAACATTATTTTTATGTTTAGATGCATTTAAACTGATCAAATTTTATTTCAGAGAACAACAAAATTAAATTTTGTTTGATTAAAACCCTGCTAACATGGAAGTACCCAAAAATCATTTGAGGCACATAATGCTTTATGAGTTCAAGAAAGGAAACTCAGCAGCCGAAGCAGCTAGAAACATTCACTCAGTTTATGGAGAGGAATGTGAATGAAAGAACTTGCAGAAGATGGTTTGCAAAAATTCAGAGGTGGAGATTTCACCCTTGAAGATGAAGATCGAACCGGACG